TGATGAAAAATCAAGTGTTTTTCTCTAAAGGTAAAGCATAGTATCAAAAAATGAGATTTTACCAATTGTCTTCAACATTGTACCAAAGACTAAAGCCAGTGCTATACAGCAAGAAAAATAAGTAGAACTGGAGAGATAGTGGGGCGAGATGTCCCTGGCATCACATCTGACCCCCTGAGCACTGCCAGGAATGATTCCTGAGTACAGAACCATGAGTCAGCACCGACTATGCCCTGAGTACTGCCATGAATGAGCCCGGAGCACAGAGTCATGCATGAATAAGCACCAAGTACCACTGGATGTGACCTCAAAATTTAAAAAAAAAACAATAATAATAAAAGTAAGATACATCCAGATCCAGAGAAAATTCACTTATCTTTCTTTGCAGATGATACTCATTCAGTGTTGAACATCTGGTAGGATCCACACAAAACAAACCTCTGGAACTAATAACTGAGCTTATCAAAATGACAGTTTATACAATCACACATGGCTCTACATTATGGATAGAAATTCCTTAAAATTCTATTATGATAGGGCTGGAGCGATAGCACAGCGGGTAGGGCGTTCGCCTTACAAGCGGCCAACATGGCCGACCCGTGTTCGATTCCTCCGCCCCTCTCGGAGAGCCTGGCAAGCTACCGAGAGTATTCGATATGCCAAACACAGTAACAACAAAGTCTCCAATGGAGACGTTACTGGGCCCGCTCAAGCAAATCGACGATCAACGGGAGGGCCTTTACCTTACCTTACCTTACCTCTATTATGATAGCATTGAAACTCCTACAAATACTTAGGGCTATAAGTGATTCAAAATGTGAAAAAGCAGGGCTGGAGAGAGTATGACAGGTAAGATACAAGTCAAATCAGGCCAACTCAGGGCAACCCCCAGAACCGTGTCACCCACCAAGCATTGCTAGGTGTAGCCCTGGAAGCTTGCAAGCACTGCAGGGGTGGCCTGGGTGAACCCAGAAACCGCAGTTCCTGCAGCCCTTTCTTTCCAGCCCTCCCGTGGGATCATCTGCCTACTTGGCCAAGAATTATTAAAGACCTGGGCATTCAGAAAACCACTTTGGACACTTCTACCTCCCCCAAAAGTTGAAAGTCTGTAATCCTGAAAACCATCAAACATCAATTAAGGCTGTATATCAAGGGAAAACAGTTTAGTCATGGGTTGAAGGATTTAGTATTGTCAAGATAGCAGCTCTCACCCAAATTATCTATACAGTCAATACAAACTCGGAAGCCTTGTTCTGTTTGTTTTTTTAAATTAATTTTTAATTGAATTACAGTGAGATATAGTTGCAATACTTTCATGATTAGTTTCAGTTATACAATGTTCCAACACTCACCTCTCCACCAGTGTACATTTACTGCCACAAATATCTCTTATATCCCCTATATCTCTCCTGACACTACCACCCCAGTCTGCCTATATGGCAGGCACTTTTATTCTCTCTCTCTCTTTCTCTCTATCTCTCTCTCTCTTTCTCCCTCTCTTTCCCCCTCCCTCCCTTTCTCTCTCTCTTCCCCCAACTCCTTTTGGGCTTTATGGTTTGCAACACAGATACAGCACACATCTCCCATCCAGAGCGATACCTTCCAACCATCATTGCCATAATGGTTCCTTCTGTACCCCAACTGTTCTCTCACCTAACCCTTGAGGCAGGCTTCCAATAATGGACCAATCCTCCTGAATCAACTCTCCATGGATGTTAATCTCATTCTATACCCTGGTATCTCTTCAGATCATCTAAATCTTTCGCCTATTTTTATAAACTAATAAAAATTGTCAAACTGCACCTGAAGTTTAAATGGAAATGCAAGATAGAAGAAGTATTGTGAGACTAAGTAATGTGACATGTTTGTTAATTGTTCAACAGCTATATTGAATGCTGAATTTTCGCAAAGATGCAAAGATAACACAATTTAAAAAGGTTGATAAACACCTACTGCCAAGTATGCAACCGTTTCAGGACTAATCTCAGAAGAGAGGCAAGCCAAGCCACCCAGACCCACTGGTACACAGGTGTTTGGACTAGACACTCTGAGCACCCTCGGGAGAGGGGTGGGCCAAACCCCCGCCCCGCCGAAGCCCCCGCTGCCAAACTCATACCCCACAGCTGCTTCTGTACAAAGGGCCCAGCTTCTCTCTCCACGACTAACCCCTGCAGAGACGCCAATCTGATGAAACCCTCAAGTACATCTGTTTTTAGGCTGAGAACTGGGGTCTCCTCGGAGTGAGGGTAGGAAGCCTCTCTCCTCCCCACCCCGTATTGCCAGAAACCTAGCAGCCACACCCACATCCACAGATGACTCTGGGCAAACTGCCCAACTTCACTGCTTCACATCTGAGCTCTGGAGATGCCAGGTCAACGTAACTTCTGGGTACACAGATCTGCTGGAGTGTGCGGCCAGATCTGCAACCGTGTGATCCCTTCAAATTCCATAATACTGGCAGCTCAGTAGGAGCCAAGAAAATTAGATGGAAGAGTAGCTAGAAAACTAAGCTCAATGAGTGAAAACAACTAAAAACAAAAGGTTCATCTAACATCAAACAGCTCAGTAAATCCTCAGACAATGACTTTAATGACCCCATTGTAAGATAAAAGAATTTTCACAAACCATTTTTTTACTGAACTATTTATTTGATAATTCTACTTATTATTTTATTATAACAAACAGTATAAAATGATTTTGTGCCCTCCAAAGGGGCAGGCTTGCAGGGGAGGGGGGTGGGGAAGGTCACATTGATGGCAGGATTGGTGTTGGAACATCCTATAACAATTGCATTGTGAACAACTTTGTAAACCACAGTCTTTAAAATTTTAAAAAAGACAATTTCAACAAATAACACTGGAAATACTATGTGCCTATATACAAAAAAAATCTTCATTTCATATTTTGCATCAGCCATGAATAATAACTCAAAATGCATCCTAGATATAAATAAAAACTTATATGCAAAAGAGCAGTAGAAGTAGGAAGAGAAGCAGAAGAGAATTTTTTCTGTCATCGATAATATAGAGAAATCATAAAGATTTTACCCAAAGCACAATCCATAAAAGGTCTAAAAAGTCATACTGCATTTATCATAAGTAAAGCATTGCACCTTTAAATAACATTAGAAAAATGAAAAGACAAGCTTCTGATTGGGACAAAATTTCTTCCATCACGTATTTATGTTCAAAGTACATATATACGTAAAGGAAGAAATACAAAAACCCAATCATAAGAAAACATGCGAACCTGTTTAAACAACTGTGGAAAGACTTGGTGAGAGAGTCGAACAGAGGAGAAACTCTCTTGAAAGTCATGGGAAGCTGCTCAGCATGATTTGCCTTCAATGAAATGCACGAAGGACAGTTGGAAAGACTTGGCTGTCATCCGAGATCAGAAACAGTGACCCTGAGCTGACCGAGAGATGCAGAGGCTGTGCAGATGTGGGACCCTTTTACAATTTGGCTGCAAGTGCCCAGTGACACGATCTCTTTGGGAAATAGATAGACTGTTTCTTTGAAAAAGGAGATAAAAAATACACCTGTCAGCAAACATGATAACCTTCCAGTACTTGTATTGCAAACCATAATACCCCAAAGGAAAGAGAGAGAGAAAGAAAAGTGCCTGCCACAGAGGCAGGCTGAGGGTTGGGGGGGGGGCGGTGTTGTGAGGAAAACTGGGGACATTGGTGTTGGGAAATATATACCGCTGAAGGGATGGTGTTGGACATTGCATGACTGAAACCCAACCATGAATAGCTTTGTAATTGTGTATCTCGTGGTGATTCAGTAAAATAAATAAATTTTTAAAAATACTCTTAGCTCTGGCCATTGTAGTCATAGGTCCTGACCCAGAGTACATGTCCCTATGTAGATTTTTCTGTAAACATCTATAGAAGCTTTATGTGCAATAGCCCAAAATGGGTCAGTGTGTCCCAACATGAAGGAGCCAGAGGAGGGTGGCTGACCCATGCAGCGAACTGGGAAGGAGTGGGATGTCCACGGACACAGTAGCAGAGAGAAACACTCACCCTTAGCAATTGTAATGTTCATACAGTTGCATTGATTAGAAACAAAACAAAACAAAACAGTGGAGATGTAGGTGTTCTCAGACTTCATGTTATCTTTAGAGTCCATGGGAGCACACACACTCCATGGTCCTTATTATTGTCAGGACCCCATTTCAGTACATACACAACACAGTCTGTATCCATACATACTCCATGGTCCTTAGAATCACTGGCCCCCTTGCGCAGCTGTCTTCCTCACTGTGGGGCTGGTGGGTGGTGGTAGATAAGAGTCAAGGCTCCTGGTGTTCATGGTGAACCCTGGACCCAGCCGAGCTCAGTCCAGAGTCCTCCCAGTGCTGTCTGGGCCCCTCCGAATCTGGGGGTATCTGGGTGGGCTGTCAAATCCATTTTCTCCCCAAGTATTGGGAGACAGCATCATTTCCGGTGGCCTTTGCCATGGTCCTTGTACACTCTCAGCCCAAGAGCCCTTTCAGCAGGACAGAGATTTCCAGGTTTCCCATTGTAATTTTATTTTAGACATTGGTTAGGGTGTGACGTGGACGATCCAACCCAGGGCCTCACATGTGCGATCTATGGGACCTACCATCCCTGCCCTCTTTTCTCCAGTTTGAAATAAAAATATTTTTTTAAGGGTCAGAAAATTTTTTCCTGGTCCTCAGTTAGGCCTGGAAAGCAGTTTCGTAGCTTCTTGCCTCTTAGAAGAAACCATTGCTCAGTGTCAGCTGCATTAGGAGAGCGACAAACTGTTGCACTTTTGTCCACAGTGGATGGTGTCTTCCATGGTCTGGGATTGCGAGTCCCTAAGCACGAAGGGAAGGAGCTTTGCTGTCTCCCCAGATGACGCCAGGAGTGTCTGTTGGGGACAGTCTATCCCAGTGGGATGTCCTCGGGGGCTTAAGCCAGTGTCTGAGGGGCTGGTCTCACGGTGCACAGTGCGGCTGGTTTGCTGAGTCTCCTGCTTGCCTTGCAGTTTTGCGGGAGCCCTATACAGTCCGTGTGGAGGACCAGAAGACCATGAGAGGCAATGTCGCGGTCTTCAAGTGCATTATCCCCTCCTCGGTGGAGGTGTACATCACCGTCGTCTCGTGGGAGAAAGACACTATCTCACTCAGCTCAGGTAAGCTCTGCACTCCGCGTGGCTCACCCCGGGAGCCCTCTCTAAGAGGACGGAGATGACATGCGGGAATCTCTCCAAAGGCTGTACTGTGGTGTTTTGTTGGGGCTGGCATGCATGGTTCAAGTTGTATCCCTCTGGGCAGAGGGGAGTGGCCTGTTCTGAAGGCACTGGCTGGGTGGCCGCCTGCTGGGAGAGTGTTGCTGTTGCTTCTGCTCCTGGGAGTAGGGGTGAAAGACGATTGTGCGGAGGACTGAGAGTCTCCACACTGTAACCGCATCAGCCCTGAGGTCACAGGCTGTTCTGGCCCTTTCAAATGTGTTATATAAAATGTTTAAGACGTGTTTAAAATGTTTAAACTGTGTAAGAGTTCCAAGGACCTCCCCCACCTCCTCCTTGGTATTTCTGTGTGGAAGCTGTGCTCCACATTGGGACGTGACAAGAATGCCTCAGTTTCTCTTTTGGCATCTGGAAATGACACAGGTCTGGCCGCTGGAAGGTTGTGGCTTGTCTCTTCTCGTGGTTTTTAAGCTCAGCCCTTGGGCAGTGGGCAGCTGTGGACTGCTGCTCTTGACACATGTTCGAGGCGTGTATTAATGCAGTTCTGGAATCTTACCCGAATGGTGTCCAAATATTTATTTATGGAAATGAGGAACCGTCCCGACCCCACGCCCATCATTTCTACATTTTCAACACATTGATTTGCGAGACAATGCAGGTTCCTCAACAACGAGGATGATTAAAAAATCATCAAAGCATTAAAAAGTTCAAATTAAAAATGAAATCTTAAGTCTTTAGCTCCCATTACAATAAATGAGGTGGTATTGGATGCTTCTGACTTTCCTGTCTTTGCTGGGAATTTGAAGCATCATACACTTCATTGAACAGCGAATTCCTGGTTGTTGGGCTGATTAATCTTGTTCATTTGTTAACGCGGAGTACTGAAAGCATTCCAGGCCCAATTGGGGGGCACTGACTGTGCCTCCAAGGACACTCGTCCACGTGCTTCCATCTGCCTTATTTCTTGGCCTAAGTGCTCCTGAGTGGACACTCCTTGGGTGCTCTGATGACATTTTGATCAGGCTGAGCCAAGAGTCAGAGCCTGGGGCTTTAGGGAGAGAAAGAATAGGGGGCAACATTTGAAAGCTCCAGGCTTGGGCTGGTGGTCTCCACCCAAGGCCTGTTACTAACAGGCCTTCAAGACACAACTTGAGGTCCTGCCTGGAGAAGGGAAGGGGCAGGGGTGGGTGAAAAGTGGCACCAGGAGTTGAGAGCTGACAGCTGCCATTTCTGTGCATAATTAACTGCCCAAAGCCAGATGTGTTTCGTGGGTTACTGCAATGGGGTTTGCGCCTAGAGAGAGAAGTGGAGCTCTGGGTAAGAATAGAATGATCTCGGTGAGGTTTTGTGTCTCTGTCTCCAGAGACATCGACCCCTCGAGGTGATTCAAACACAGCAGATAGAGCCAATGCGGGTGTTACACGTGTGCAGAGAAAACACTCACGGGCCTCTGGGTACCAGACACCTCTGCTTCATGGGAAACTGGAACACAGCTTTGATTGTGTCGCAACCTGTATGAACAGACTCTTTTTTTTCCCCTAAGTAAACCAATACAAGGGGTGCTGTGTCTGGGGAGTGTGGGGTGCTGATGGACACCCACAGAATAAGCATCTTGCTGACTTGAAGGGCAAACTTTTGCGTCTTCTCTGCACTCTGAGCTTTCCTCCTGGAAATCATAGAAACCATAGTTAAGGTTGAGCACTTGACTTTTCCTTGTTCACAAAAAAATAATAGATTCAGAAAAACCAGTGGAGGCCCAGGTTTCATGAGAGAGAGAGGGAGAGAGAGAGGAAGAGAGGGAGAGAGAGGGAGAGAGAGAGTGCAAGAGAGAGAGAGAAGGAGAGAGAGGGAGAGGGAGGAAGAGAGAGAGAAGGAGAGAGAGAGGGAGAGGGAGGAAGAGAGCGGGGGGGGGGGGGGAGAAAGGGGGAGAGAGAGGGAGAGAGAGGGAGGGAGGGAGAGAGAGTGCGAGAGAGGGAGAGAGAGGGAGAGAGAGAGGGAGAAGGGAGGAAGAGAGAGGGAGGGAGAGGGAGAGAGGAAGAGAAAGGGAGGGAGAGGGAGAGAGAGCAAGGGAAAGAGAGAGGGAGAGGGAGGGAGAGAGAGAGGGAGAGAGAGCAAAAGAAAGAGGGAGAGAGAGGGAGAGAGTGAAAGAGTGGGAGAGAGTGGGAGAGAGAGCGAGAGGGTGGGAGAGAGAGAGGGAGAGAGGGAGAGAGAGCGGGAGAGAGAGAGAGAGAAGAAGAGAGGAGGGAGAGAGAGGGAGATGGAGGAAGAGAGGGAGGAAGAGATAGGAAGAGAGATGGAGAGAGAGGGAGAGAGAGGAGAGAGGGAGAGAGAGGGAAGGAGAGAGAGGGAGAAGGAGAGGGAGAGGGAGAGGGAGAGGGAGAGGGAGAGGGAGGGAGAGAGGGGGGTAGGTAGAGAGAGGGAGGAAGAGAGAGGGAGAACGAGCGAGCGAGAGCTGCCTGTGGTGTCCACACTGAGTCAGGCCAGGCCTGCGAGAAATCAACTGTCCGGATCAGGTTGAGCACCTGGACTCTGGCGCGGCTGTGCCCTCTGCTTTGCAATTCACCAGCACTCCCTGCGCACTTACCTGGGCATTTTCTATGCTCAGCTGCATGCTCCCCTGGCTGCTCACGTGGTCACTTCTCTTCATGCTCTCCTGGGTGCTCACCTGCGCACTTACCTGGATACTCCCCTGAGTGCTCATCTGGGCACTTACCTGGATACTCCCTTGGGTGCTCCCCTAGGTACTTACCTGGATACTCCCCTGGGTGCTCACTTGGACCACCAAGCCCCTGGTTGACCCTGCTCTGAGGTTCGGGAGCAGCGGTGTGGCAGACTTGCCAGTGTGTAGAGGGCAACTGTGTTGGCCTGACTTAGGTTGTTCTCTGGAGTCTTCAGTGAACGCATTGGCGCCTGCCTTCTTGCTCTCCCTTAACCCAAGTGAGCCTGGGCGAGCCAGTGTGGCATCTGTAGCATGCTTTACACCCCCCTTATCCCTAATCCTGAGCACACCTGCATCCCTGGGTCTGTGGGAAGCTCTGGGCAGGGGTCTGGAAAGGTTCCCAGGAGGTGACACTGGGTCGAAGCTAGGTCTCACTCCTGGGAAAGCACGTCCTGACTCTGTGCTCATGAGTGACCCCCGGCGGTGCTTGGGGGACAGTATGTGGTACTAGGGATGGAAACTGGTCAGCTGTGCGCCAAGCAAATGCCTTAATCCTGAATGGCTTCTCCCCGCCCTGGATTTGCTTATGTTGTTGATGCACTTGGGGACAGTTCTGATTGTCAAAATGGCCCCTCCTCCTCGCATTTCCTGTCTCTGCACCCACCTCCCTCTGTTAGGGCCCCCCCCTCCACTCAGCCCCTCCCCATTTCTCCCATCTCCCCTTCCCCTAGGGGAATGTCATGCTTGTTAGTATCTCAGCGAGATTTCTGTGGCATTTTGCATTTTCCTGGGCTCAGCATTACCAATTCCCCACGTTCTGAGTGTCTCCAGAAGCCTGCTGGAGGTTTCGCTCCCGTGAGGGCAGCCAGCGGTGCGGGCACCCAGCCTACCGTGTCTGTGGTCGCCGATAAAGACTTCAATAGTTTCACTGGCGCTTAGGCAATGCTGACATCAAAGGCACAGCCCAGGGGGAACGGATTTGGAAAATGGAAAAAGCAAATGTTCCACTATCCCCAGAGTCTGAGAACCTGCTGTGTAAGGTGGCCCTCACCAAGAGAGAAGCTGGGGAGAGTTTCGCCTCTCAGGATCAGTGAGCGTGAGTCCCAGCTGATGGCCTCTGGGTCTGGGTCACAGTGAACATGTCCCAGTGCAGTGACCATCAAGAGCCCTACCTTCCCTGGGAACACGTGCTGTCCTTCGGGGGACTGCTGTGGTCATCACTGTGATAAGGAAGGGTCTGCCTAGGAAGCTCCTGTCCCTCTGGACCCCGCAGAATGGGGTTTGCTCTCGAGGAGCCCAGATGAGAGATTCCTACACAGTGTGGGGTGTGTGGTTCAGTAGGAACTTGGGTGGGATGACCAGGGACAGTCACCTGTGCGTGCTTTTGCCTGGGCTGAGAGAAAACATCTCACCAAAGAGAGGACCACTGAGAAATGGCTTTGCAGTTAGGAGCAATTCTGTTGGAGACCGGAAACCCAGTCATGGGGCTTTCCGTAGGGAGGTGTGCGAAGACCATACTGACAGCCCGGTGTTGGAGTGACCATCCTCTGAAGGGTGGCTGGGGGCACTGCTGAGAAGCATGAGAGTTAGACTGGGGGTCAGGGACAGGTCTCTGGTGGCTCCCTGTCAGTCTGTCAAAGGCATTTAGGGGTCATTATTCTCCAACCCTCAAGCTTCGTCAAGGTGCCTCGTTTGGTTGGAAGGTCCAGCTTTGTTCCTACAGTGCTTATGAGTAGGGGACTGGGTAAACCTCAGCGTGGTTTAGCCTCAAAAGCCTGGGCTTTGATTTTAAAAGGACTAGAAGTAGCAGAAATGGACAGGCATCTCTTTAACATTCACTATAAAGAATTTACAGGATTTAGTGGAAACTACAAAAGGCACATTTTTAATCGGTCTATCATCTGTCTAGCTGTGTATTCATCCACCCAAACATTATCTACCATCTATCCATCCATTATCTATCCACCCATGATTATCTCTCTACCTACCCATCCATCATCTACCTACCTACCTACCTATCTACCCCGTCATTATGGCTATCACTATCCAGTATCTCCTTATCAGCCCATCCATCAACTATCCATTTACCCACCCGTTATCTACCAGTCTATCCATTATCTATACATACAGCAATTTATTATCTATCTACCCATCCGTACATCAGTCCATCCTTTAACCACCTATGTACCTATCCATTCATCCATTATTTATCCATTTACCCGCCCATCCATCCATCCATCCATTCATCCATCCGTCTGTCCATCCATCCATCCATTATCTCTCA